GGAGGACGTGGCCGCCGTGCGGGGACGCCTGGCGCCCGCCTACCCCGCGGGGCTGCGAGCCGGCGCCGTCTACCTGCGCGGCTACCACGAGGCGCTGGCCGAGTGGCTCGGGGCGGCCGCGCGCCGCAGGCTCCCGCTGGCCGATCGCTACGCGCTGCTGCACTGGCACAATCAGGTGTACCCCAGGTGAGCCCGGGGCGCCCCGGGCCGCGCGCACTTTAACCCCAGGCACCTGGTTCGAGATATTGGATTTAGGGATAGGGTCCCATGTAGCCCAGGCTAGCTTGCAAGTTTTCTGAGTCAGGGTTCTGCTGTATAGACTAGGCTGGGGCTGAACTCAGAGATCCGCTTGCGTTTGCCTCTTGAGGGCTCCTATAAAAGCAAGCACCGCTGCACCCAGTCTGTCTGTCTGTCTGTCTGTCTTTCTTCCTCTCTCTCTCTTTCTCTCTCTCTCCCTCTCTCTCTTCCTCCTCCTCCTCCTCTTCCTCCTCCTTTTTCCTCTCTCTCTCTCTTTCTCTCTCTCCCTCTCTCCCTCTCTCCCTCTCTCCCTCCCTCTCTCATTTTTGTTTATACGCATGTGTATTTAGGCATGCGGGTGCCTGAAGAGACGAGAAGGAATTGTGTTCACCTAGAGCTGGAGTTACAGCCCAGTGTAAGCTACCCAATGTGGGTTCTGGGAACCTCTGCAAAAATAACAAAAACATAACCCCCCCCCAAAACAAAACAAAAAAACACAGCAAGTACTTTCAACCACTGAGCCATCCCCTCAGCTCCTCCTCCTCTCCTCCCACCGGCAATTAACAACTGTCATTGGCTGCAGTACTCACACCTCAGAAAGCTCACTGTGAATAGATGTCCTCTACCTCCATTATTCTTTAATTCCTTTTGTTGTGACAATATATGTGTGTGTGTGTATATATATATATATATATATATATATATATACATATATATATATATATATATACATATATATACCAAAAACAACTTAAGCAGGTCACAACTGTCCCTCACTGAGAGAAACCAGGGCAGGGACTCAAGCAGGAACTTAAAGGCAGATTGGCTAGCTGTTTCTCACACACAGCTTGACCTCTGACCGAGGAAGTCATAGCCAAGGAAGTGGAGCAGAAACCATGGGAAAATGCTGCTTGCAGCCTGGCAGGCTGTGTCTCAGCTAATTACTTATATAACTCAGGACCAGCTAGCTGCCTAGGGAATGAGGCCACCCACAGTGGACTGGGCCCTCCTATGTCAGTTAACCATCAAGACACTCCCTCAGAGACTGATCTGAAAAGTTCCTTAGCAGAGGACCCTCCTCTCTGGGTTCAAGTTTTGTTGAGTTTATCCCCTGCTTCTGAGCCACTTACTCATTCCCCCAGACCCGAGCATTAACACTGAGTGTACATGGTGACACTCTGCACCTCAGTGTTTTGCCTCTTGGGGACCCCACTGTGGTCTTTCCAGACCCAGACCTAGAACACCGTATGTGTTCTCACTCTGAGTTCCCAGCTCCATTGTCCACAGCTCTCCTAGTAGCTCAGGGCTGTGGACCCTTTTGATCCCTGAAGCACTTACTACTCATGTCATGACTGGGACTAACTCTCCACCATACCAGTCCCAAGATTTTAGCATTGTAAATCTCCGTCCCACCGACTCTCAGATTCAGTACTTCTGAAGATTAGAGTTCTATAATGCAGTAGGCTGTGATGGCTCACATCTGTATCCCAGGCACTGGGGAGGTAGAGGCAGATGGACCTCAGGACAGCCTGGTCAATGTAGTGAGTTCTAGGATATCCAGGGCTATAAGAAAGATCCTGTCCCAAATAAAATAAAATTGTAAAAGGCCGAACAAGATGTCTCAGGGTTGAAGACACCTGCTCTGCAAGCCTGGGTCGGGACACTGGGACACGTGTAAAGGTGGAAGGAGAGAGCACACATCACAGAGGTGCCTAGTGACCTCCACATGCACGTGGCATGCCTGTCCCTTTTAACTATGAGAACATGCAATAGGTTTTAAAATAAGTAGATCTCATGGGATTAAAGGCTTAAGCCTTTAATCCCAGAACCTGGGAGGCAGAGGCAGGCAATCTCTGAGTTCAAGGCCAGCCTCCTCTACAGAGTGAGTTTCAAGACAGCCAGGGCTACACAGAGGAACCTTATCTCAAAAACAAAACAAACAAAAATAGTAGCTCTCTCTGTCTCTGTCTCTGTCTCTCTGTCTGTCTCTGTCTCTCTCAGTTCTGGGAATTCTGGCCTTTCATGTTCTCTCACATACCAAACAAGCAGACTGCACTTAGCTATAACCTCAGCCATTTTATTTTATTTATTTTATGTTACATAAGACAGGGCCTTAGTCTGTAGCCCAGGTTGGCTTTGAACTCACTCTGTATGTCAGGCAAGCCTTGAACTTCCAATTTTCCCTTTTCAGCCTTCCAAGTATCTAGAGAGACAAACCTGTTAAGTAGATTTTTGTTTTGTTCTGTTTTGTTTTTTGAGATAAGATTTCTCTGTGTAGCTCTGGCTGTCCTGGAACTCACTCTGTAGACCAGGCTGGCCTTGAACTCACAGAGATCCACCTGGCTCTGCCTTCTGAGTGCCAGGATCAAAAAGGTATGTGCCACCACACCTGGCTAGGCAGATAGATTTTAAAAAGATTTCTTTTCTCTTTAGCTCTCTCTCTCTCTCTCTCTCTCTCTCTCTCTCTCTCTCTCTCTCTC